AGTCCATAGCATAGATAAATCAATTATAAAAATACTCAAAATACTTAAGATATATGTTTTTTTTACTTTAACATTTCTGATTTTGCTTTCCCTTTAAGACCCCTATTAGAGACCATGGATCTGAGGTTTTCACATATCCAAAATTGTGCACCCAATTCAAAATAGACACATGGAAAACTTACCTGAACCGGTAATGTCTGGGTTACCAGGAACCAGGTGGACCCATTAAAACCTCTGGTGGAGAGTAAGTGTGAGCGATGGGAAGGGAGGGAGAGATGTGAATGTTTCTGTGATATTTCAACGATCTTTCAGCTTTGATATATGAGATATGTGGTGTGGTGAGAAGGGCAGAACAAATCAACAAAATGAGACAGGAAGAGAGAGAAATCTGTGAATGGATGCCACGTCACACAAAAACCCTCAGACCCAACAAAACACTGCTCCCATTTTTATCCCATTTCTTTATTTCGTTAACAAGTCTGACCCAGGCTGAATCACAACCTCAAATAGGCCGAGAATCTGTGTGTGTGTGTGTGTGAGTGTGTGAGTGTGTGTGTGTGTGTGTGTGTGTGTGTGTGTGTGTGTGTGTGTGTGTGTGCTACTGCCTCAGGTTTGCTCTGAGTGGATTGTGTCTGTACATGTGCTGCTAACCTAATAGCTCAGAGATTTGGTTCATTATAGTGGGGGTGGGGGTGAGGGGGTGGGGGGGGTATGATGTGTCTGTGTGTGTGTATTTGTGTGTCTATGCCTGTGTACAGTGTATATTTGCACAATGTGTGTGGTTGTCCCAGATAGACCGATCAAGTAGCTTGATTATAATGTATTACTGTAATATCACCACATAGATAAGCATGAGATATTGCGTGTGTGCGCATGTGTCATAATTGCACTTCCATAAAGCTACCACACATTAAAACTCTCATTTATCAATTCTTTCTCCACCAGCATTAGCTCGAACCCACATTCTACCTTTTTTCTTGCATGCCTGTTTCCTCTGCCTGTTTCTTTTAAAGGCCACACACACACGCACACACACACACACACACACACACACACACACACACACACACACACCTTGTATTATGTATTATTCACATCTTTTGCGAAACAGGATTATGCACGGTTTATTTTAAAAGCTTCCTCTACTCACGTCACCAAACTATTTGTAAGCGTGCTGACCTCTACCTGTCACCATCTTTTCCAGTCAAAACAACAACATGCGTGTGAGTGCCTAATGTAATCTTGGCATCATTGAAATGTTTTCCGGTGAAGTAAATTAAGGTTGAATGAATGAGTGAAGCGCATCACTTCCTGTGCAGATCCTCTGTTTTTTCCTGTTGGTTTCGAACTATTTATCAACAGAACACATCCTATTGTTTCTACCCCACAAGACGTGAGACTGGAGTCTGCAGTACTGCATTGACGATGTGTGTTGGTGGTTATTAAAAATGCAGACAAACATTAAGCAAGCAAGGATGTGAAGTGTGAAGTAGGAATCTTTTTGAATGGAAGTTTATCATTTTCACTTTCATGTCTGTGCATTAAGGCTGGAGTCAGGAGGTTATTAGCTTAGCATAAAGACTGAAAGCAAAAAAGGCAACAGAAATGAAAAAAATATATACTTTTTGTGTTTCTTCTACCATAGTTGGCTGTCTTAGAAAACAACAGTCTATCCACCCGGCACTTCTGTGCAGTGTCTCCCGCTGGTTGCCTGACAATCTCATGGTCGACAAGTCAAAGACAAAGTCACTGCACCCAGTTGCTTTTTGCCAAGAAAATGTTACAGCACACAACTCCTCATAAAACCACAAATAGTTGTTTCTACATTTCTGTTTGTGTACAGATTAGATAAACAACATAGGTGTCATAGGTGTAGTTTAGTGAGCTATGGAGGTGTTAGTACTGTATTAGTATTGTTTAACTTTTGACAGAGCCAGGCAAGCTGTTTCCCCCCTGCTTCTATTGGTTGTGCTAAGCTAAGCTCCTGGCTTTAGCACAATGCTGAACACACATATATGAGTCGTATCAATGTTTTCATCTTAACTATTGGCAAGAAAGTGAAAAAGTCAAAACTATTTCTTTAAAAAAGATTGACATTTGACAGTTCACTCTCAAATATTGGATAACAGAACTCTTCAACAGTCACACTTGTCAACAATTAACAAACAACAATCTTGTATTGTTGTTATTAGGTTCTGTTCCCACATGAGAAGTTTGAAGAATGTAAAGATTTTGTGCCTCTAACACTCCATGGTTACCAGTTTGATTCACACTTAGGCTTCATGTTGATGTGTACTGTTTTGGATAGCTGGTCTAACAGGAAAGACAGCACTTTGTGAATCCAGAAAATCCACTTTATACTGTACGGCTACTAACTGAACACACAGTGATATAATAGTCGGGGAGTCTTGTCTGCTGCAGAGACACGGTGCTCTAAAAACACACAATGCTCTCATTGACTTCTACCAGATCTAAGACGTGCCCTAAATAAAGCATAATATGGGTCTCTGAAGTAGGTTATTTGTTTAAATTTAAAAGAGATGGTGGGCAAAAAGTTATATTTGATATGTGGCTTTACAGAAGTTGTATTTACCCGGAACTCAATGGTAACTGCATTAATTCATTTCATAACTTTAGTGTCATAAAAACAACAACAACACAACTTCTGATCTAAAAACAGCATCTTTTTGTGGTAGCGCTTCTATTTTCTGTCATTGTGTCTTTTTTTCCGCTCTCTGAGAGCTATCTAACTAGCACTGTGAGACTAGACGAAAACACTTGGTGCCACTTAATGTCTCATTAGTGTGAGAGAGGAAGAGCAAAAATGAAACGGAGACATGAGTGTGGCCGAGGGTGGAGAGGATGAAGGGTGACCAGCAGAAGTGGTCACGGGAGAGGGCTGCTGGGACTATTTGCATTCAGCTCTTGTGGTATGATAAAGAGGTGTGTTATGAACATGTAACCTTGTTGCCATTGATCATACCTCTCGCCTGTGCAGCGTTGATTGGAGGAGACCTCTCAACACAAAACTCATACGTCAATGCTAAGTGGATTATTAACTCATATACCTGTATTGACCGCATCCCTCTCTCCCTCTCTGCAGCACAGAGCTCTCATACACATATCAGGCAACACGAGACGTACATTTCCTGTACTTTTGATCAATGGAAACAGGAATCTGGTAGTTTTGATCACCAAAATGTCTTAAAGAATATTCTATCATTTTAATATGTCACTCTTTTTTTTCTAATTGACAACAAATCCCATGAAAAGACCGAAACCAACAATGCGCCAGTCAATCTCTCAATACTTTTCGACTCCCCTACTTTGTCAACAGCACTTAAGCCATCAGCATGCTTCAAAAAAAGTGTCAGATCATCAAACAGCATCTGAAATACCCCCCCCCCCCACCACCACACACTTTTCCGATGGTGACGTTCCAAAACTAATAATACAACAAGCCCCAGATTTAAGGTGGTGAGAGGAGGCGAAAAAGGATGCAGGATTTTTGAAGCCCTTTTTAATTATTCAGACAACTACTTCAATCATTTTTGTGCGCACAGTGCAATGCCATGTGACACCTGATGCCAGTCTGAACGTTTTCATGTGTCACGCCAAGGAGGCAGTCTTTTTCCTTGTTCGGTTTCATTCACAAGAAGCATGTACACTGATCATACAAACTTGTTTGTTTCAAGTATACCTCAGCATGTAGCTATAGTAAATCTTTTTTTTAAAAAAAGGTCAGAAATATAGTAGTTTAATTTGTTTAAAATGAATAATTTCCTAAAACAGCTGGGCACTACATAAGTAAATTGTGATTTGTTTGTTGCTTTCAGCTGCAGATTGATACATACAATCACGTGTGCTAGTGAGTATTTATGGCAGCAGAACAGTGTATGTAAGATTGACTCAAAATAAACTACAATGCCTAGGTTCATTGTAATGAAGGAACACTGATGTGTTGATGATTTGTTTTTGGAAAAAAATGGAGATCTATGGCACAGATGAATCAGATATATCAGACTTCTGATATACAGAACATTGGCAGTCTTATCCTTTTAAATACTCTGTATTTGGCATCTGTAGTATCAGTCTTTGCTTAGAAGCAGAGTTAATACAATATGTCTAACATGTCCACCTAAAATAACTGATTACAACAACAAATATTATACAGTACGTTCTTTATAGGCATATAATGGGTACATTCTTGATCAAATGACACTACAGACATAATCCTTAATATTTATTGAGTGACAAACATTGTGTAATATATTTTTTTTAAATGAACTAATGACTTATTTTTCTGAGACTGACATTGAGGAAAAACATGCACTAATGAGTAACATTTTGCATCTTGCTAGAAAATGAGTGCTCAAACTCTGGTTGGTTAAAATGAGGGTTATGGTTGCAGGGCTTTGGTTGGAGCCCAAACAGCAAAGCTTGCTCATATATTTTAATGATCCTGGCTCCCTGAACGAGGGTCTGTATTTACCGTCCGGGCCAGAGATTTAAAGCCAACCCTTCTTTTAAATTAGTCTGAACCCGCAATCTTGTGCACACAAACACACACGCATTTGATCCGTCAGTACTCGAAGGAGTGATGGATAGATTCGTAGTGATAACATATGGTTTGGCTTCATCACTGAGCAGTGTAATTACCTTTCATGTTGTGTTTACACTGACTGACTTCAAAGTCTTTGTTTATTTTTTAGAAATATATGTTTTGCGAAGCCTGTGCATCTTATTAAATGCTGCATTATGCACAGCATATCCCTTGAAACCATTATTTCTGCACACATTGCTTTGATACGCGTACAGTATTGCTTTGAAGCTAAAAGCTCTCTCTCTCTCTGTGTCCCTCTCTCCCTACATCCCTTGCTCCCTCTCTTGCTTTCTTTCTCACTGACATGTTTTTTCTTTCCACTTCTTTTTTTATCCTCTGCATCCTCCGTTATCGCCTTCATCTCGCTAACTCTTACCTTCTTTCCTTGTTTCCTCAGTGGGCCGTTTGTTGATCGAGTTCAGCTCCCAGATGACGATGGAACGAGTGCAGAAAGAAAACCCCAATGTGACGGATGGAGGACGCTACACACCTCCTGACTGTCGGCCTAGATGGAAGGTCTGTATATATATATATATATATCAGTCAGTATGTCACATATTTTAAATAAAATGCATATACTTGAACATTTTATAATGGAAGCCCATATCTGCCAGTATAAGATATAAGAAATGTTTTACATGTGAAAAAATTAAATCCTCATGATAATTATGATCAAGTAACTCAAAATCAGGGCGCCTGGTTAGCTCAGTGGGTAGAGCTGATGACCCATGTGCGGAGTTGCTGCAGCGGCCCGGGTTTGAATCTGACCTATGGCAATAAAATGCCCAAAAAATAACTTTTAAGTTACTAAGTCAAAATGATGAAATACGAAGTCAAATTATCTAAGGGATAATGCCCAACAAGGTGTCCATTATCAGGAATTAGCTAATGGACGACGTGGAGGCCAAGTGCCATTCATTTCTAATTATAAACACCTCGAATTACCGCATTATCCCGTTTATACCATGGTCACTTGCCAAAGAAAAAAAAAACATCATTATTTTTCAGTGATGATCTAAAGTTTTTGACAAGACATAACTTCCGTGATAACACCTGAGGTCCTTCCTAATACCTGGAAGAATCATTACCATCCCATAAGGTTCTAACGCAATGGCTGTGGCTCAGAGGCAGAGCGGGTTGTTCCTTAATCGGAAGATTGTGAGTTCGATCCCCGGCTCCTGGTGCCACATGTCGAAGTATCCTTGAGCAAGATACTGAACCCCAAATTGCTCCCGATGCTGTGTATGAATGTTAGTTTCTGTTCAATGGACTTTGCCATCACTGTGTGAAAGGGTGAATGTGGCGCGTAGTGTAAAAGCGCTTTGAGTGGTTGGAAGACTAGAAAGGTGCTATACAAGTACCGGTCCATTTACCATTTACTCCAGTAAATAGGACGAACCATAGATACAACTTGACAGTCCCTCTGCTCATAGAGCACTTAGGCTCAGCTATGAGACAGAGAGCTAACATTCTGCTAGCAAGATTCGAAGTCAGTAACACTGTGTACGGTCTACAAATGATACAATAAATGTGGCATCATATCTGGTCCTAAAAAAATTATTAGATTAGATTTTAAGTGTTTGAAGTGTTTCTCCTCTACATAACACTTCTCTGAGGCCAGGGTGATCCCTTAAGCAGCAAAGATAACACTAAAATAGGTGCACCCATCACAATGCCTAACTATACAGAAACCAAGGTCAGTTTGCTGCCAGTCTTCATCTGAGTGCAAAATTACCATGAACTTACACAGTAAATTACAGTTCAACCTTGGACTGTCTGGACAGCTGAGAACGAGCACAGAGATACAGGGCGTCCTCAAATCTGTCTCAAATCTGCAGTGCCATTGAGAGCTGCTTCTTTCATAATGAATGAGAAGCAACTTTGTGTACACTGTGACATTAACCGGGGGGATTTTCTACGGAAATGATTTTCTGGTGCACAACAGTTCACCTTAGAATAAAACAAAGCTCATTTAAGTGTAATTACTCACACAAACATAGTTTGGAGATCTGAAAGATGAAGACTATCATCAAATACTGCCCCTTTCCTGATTATGCTGTACTCTTTTCTCTGCCTGCATTGATATCATTTTTTAATTTGAATGGTTCTCAAATTGATGGAAATGTGATCATGTTTTCTAGTAATTGTTCTTGTTACAATTACCAACTAAAACTGTCCTTGTTGTGTAGGTGGCAATCATCATCCCCTTCCGTCACAGAGAAAACCACCTAAAGTACTGGCTCCACTACCTCCACCCGATCCTCCGACGGCAGAGGATTGACTACGGCATCTACATCATCAACCAGGTAGATGAGGAACCTCAATGCACACATCATCAAGGGTTCATCTGAGGATTATTTTTCTAAATATTAGTAACGTAACTTAGAAAGAAAGGGAAATACTAAAGACTAAAGGAAAGAAAGTGAACCCTGGCTAGCCTGAGTCGGCTTCCAGGGGCTAGCTCCAGCACAGGCTCCACGTGCAACCAGCCCAATGATGTTTGGCTTGGCGCAGTGAAGGAATTTCCCCTGTGGAGATTTAGGATTGCTCACTATGGTAATAGGATGGTAATATGCTGTATTACCGCCATTTTTTTTGTATTTGCTAATTACTTTGTAAGGGGTATAGGGGTTTGATGTTACTACCTGCTTGTACTAATCACCTGCACTCTCCGTCACCCTGCCTCCTGTGTCTCCATTAACTGGCGACTTTTTTGGGCTGAAAGTCCCCAGTTAACAGGGTCACTGTTAAACTAAAATACTGGTGAGCAACAGGAGGCAAAAGCCACAGCTGTGGCAAAATGGGATAATTAGCTGACGTTCGTTCATTTTCTACTCCAAGACTGCTGGTGTTCCCAGTTGGGAAAGAGTGAGGCGGAAGCTACGTGACTTTCTGCAGTGTGGTATTATAATCCAGGGCTGAGAATGGAGTGATACTGAGTAGAACCATGTTTCAAAAAGCACTTCCACTGTGTCAAGTCTCTTTAGTCTCACCGCTCTGGGACACTACTACTACTACTTGAAAAACAAGTACTGAACATGATAAGGTGATGTGACATCTCATGCGGTTGTGGTGGTGGCTTCCATCCCCTGGGGTTGGCTTGTAAATAGCTTGGAGTTTCATTATTGTGGTTATCGTGACATGAATTACATCTGTCGAAGATGTTCTTGTTCATGTTCTGTTCTTTCTGGTTGTCCAAAAAGGAAACGATACCCACTGTGTCGATTAAAGTTAATTACATTGAATTACATTGAACCTTGGTCTTTGGCTGAGGTGTCTATATTTGAGCTTTCCAGTTGTGAACACTATTTACGCGTCTGGAACTGATCATAACAACCCTGATATGATTTTCTGAGTTAATTGATAAAGCCTGCCCACTGCCAGCCAGCCAAAAGAAAGAAGCAAAGTGATAATGTGAGCCTAACAATATGAGCCTCCTATCTAACCTAATAATAATTGATTGATTGTTAATAGGATGTCAGAAAATAGTGAAAAATGAGCATCATGTCTACAAATCGCTTGTTGTCCAACCAACTAAAACCCTAAGACATCGAGAGATATAAAACAGCAGCAAGCTGGAACCGGCAACTTGGTACTTTTTACTTAATGACATTACTGATTAATCATCTAATTTCTATTGATTAACTAATCGTCTAAGCACTACAAGGATCTCTTCCTTAGTTCACAGAAATTTTAAAGTTACCACGTCAATTCTATCAGTATTCAAAATCTTCAAACTGAGAAAAAGCTCCAGTTGGATGAAAATTAGAGCATGGGCAAAATATGTTAATAATTGTTATTTGCAAAGACCTCTGGATTATAACAAACCTAAGTGCAGTCCACATAAAAGGCTGTAAGAATGTCTTCGGACACTTCAGATCACTGTATGACGACAACTAGACATGAACTAGATCTGTCAGCTCATGTTCACTTCTGAGTAGTGAAAGAATAATTAGAACGCTGTTGCCACCATCAGGTATTTCAATTCATTTAAATGATGGGAGAAGTCTATTACTGCACGTAGAAACTGAGAACAAGTCAATTTGCAGGTGTTTAAACCCCCTAGAGCCTGTCCTCCCTCTTGTCCCATCCCTAGCTGGTCTTCATTGAGTGTTTCTTCTTCTGACAGGAAACCATCTGCAGAGTAAATCAGCAACATATTTACTTTCACTGCACTCAGTTCAGCAGAATCACAAAGAGCTTGATTTTCTAAGCAATGTTGTGAGAATGTGTGTGCGTCGTCCACACTGCGTTGGGTGAGAGATCTTCTTCTTCCACATTATGGGTAATGAGCTCTCCTTTCTGCCCTTTCTCTCCCCTGTGGGCCTTGCGCAACACCTTAATCACTCCCCCTGTGGAACAGACCTTTGGTTCCGCCTGCCCTGCTGTGCTCTGCTCTTGATAATGGCTATGTTCCAGTGTCTTACTCTCTCGCTTTTGCTTTTACACATAAACACACCTCTTCTCTCTGAGCATCTGTGAAACTTTCTTATCTCAAATGTAAAGTTGTCAGCAAGGGTAAGGGTGTGCAGTGATGTTGGAGTGGGCGCAACATGCAGGGCATTTTTTTAACCTAGCCTTCACTTTGCTTTCTTTGCTCTGAGAATGGGCTTGCATTGTCTCTCATTGAAATTTACATCAATGCTAGACTTTATTTACTTTAACTTTATCTTTCACCTTGAGGCAGTGTAGCTTGCTCAGAGGTCTTGACACATGCCGTACAGTTTTAATCTGATTTATGACCAGTGGTGGAACAGTACAAATGTGAGGTATTTGTACTTTAATTAAGTGTTTAGATTTTATGCAACTTTATTCTTCTACGACAGTACATCTCAGAGCAAATGTTTTTTTGTTTTTTTTGCTTTTTACTCCACTGCGTTCGTCCGAGAGCTTTGGTTAGTTGTTCCTACCCTTCCTCTGCAGTGACAACCATGTAACTCTAAATGTGGTGATTCTGAATGATGCGATAAACTGAACAGTCTGGAGGTTGTGCAAAAATGAAAATGAATATCAATAATGATAAACTTTACTAATTAAGCTCCTTTCAAAACAAAGTATCAAAGTGCTTTGTTTGGGAAAAACAACATTAGAACAATTACTCACTGCAATTAACTACAAAACTATGGGATTAAGTACAAAATAGGATAAAACAGTTCATAAAGCACATAAAACATATTGAAACTGGAAGAATACAACTTTAAACATTAATTAAATGTTTTTTTGTAACATAAAATGTTCACCTTCTCACATTAAAAGAATGACTGTTATTTAAAACATTGTCGATTTGATGAACCATGTAAGAAAACTCTCTTCTTGCTTTTGACCTTCTACCACAAAATGAGGTTTATCTAAAAAGCATAATTTAAAACCAAGGACAGTTTTAAAGTGCAGACTTTTGGGGCTGTTAGGTGAAATCCCCATTCATCCAGCTGAAGGACAGTACATTAAGCAAGGTGCTCCAAACTGTGTATCTTGTGTTGTATTTTTTCTACCTACTGTATAACAGTCTTTATGTACCGTTACACCATGAAGTAATATGATTTTACAGTTGACTGATCCACTACCTGGCTGTAATTTTTTATTAAACAATCACAAATATTCTGTATTTCAGAAGTTCAGAAAGGTCTTTGAGTGAAGTGGAAATTACTCTTGTATTTTTAAAATGCATTTGAACTTGAGATTTTTAAAACCCGATGTAAGCAGCCATAGAGGTTCATTGTGTAGTAAGTTAATTCCTCTTCCTCTTGTTTTTGGAGGAGTTTTGCACTAACCCACAGATTACCAGTGAATTAAAATACCACAGATGGAAGTATCTGCTTCACTTCCATTAGAGGTAATAATGATTGCTACTCTCTAAAACCGTTATAGACAGTTTCCAAAAGGACTGACTCATCAGCTACTGCTTCAGGGTAAAAACTTTTGGTTTCTCCTTGATTGAAATTTAGATTTTATACTAATTGGTAAGGAAGGGCATCTCGAGGTTATACATTTTTTATTCAGCAGTTGCTCATCTTATATTATCATTGTGTAATTTTGCAATTAGCCCCAAATCTGAGCATTGCTGCTGCACTTTTATACCCAGGATTTATGTTTGAATTGAGCTCTGGCCAAATGCTTCCTCCCAATTAGTCGGAAAAGTTAGTTTGGAGCCTGGAATTATAACTTGAAAATGTGCTATGTTGATGCCACCTATAGCGAAGCTTTTATGATAAACTTGTTGATAGCTGACTATACTTTAGATCAGTTTTATTTATAGAAACTTGATGAATATATCCCCAACTCAGAAAAAGTTGCTTCCAATCTGTACCTTGAAGCAACTGTAACTCAATAAGCATTGAAAGTATATATAATGGAGAGCGCTTCCAGGTCTGTGAAGTTAAGCCAATGCCAAGTGTCTTGATCATACATTCTATGTAATGGCCAGCAGGGGGAGCTACATTGGCTGCAAAAAAAAAATCAATACCATGTAGTCTTATGGAGAAATTACCTGATTTAGCCCAGTAAGTCTTTCCAGCGCAGCACACGGAACTCAGGTCAAAATAGGCAGTGCTGATCAAATATAAATCAAGATTTTGTTACTGTGTTGCCTATTTCTCACCTAAAATTGTTTTAGAAACATATTTTATTATACTGTCTAGCTGTAATACGAGATTGTGTGTGTGACAAACCGTGTTAGCAACGACCATGATGCCAAACTCGAGGCTTCAAAGCGGTACTCCACAAACCAATGGGTGACGTCAGGTTCACGCTTGTCAACAACAAAATAAAACCAACGAAACTTAAACAGGGAAATATATTAAAAAATATCTAATGGTTATTGCATTTTGTTACGTTCATTTTTCCCCTGCTTCAAATCCTCAAATCTACCTGGCTTTCCTTTAGAGAGGTCAGGCAGGACACATTGATATCAAACTGCCAGACAAGCTGACAGGAAGTCCCAAAAACAGACAGTGAAGTAGGTAGACTACAAAGAGGATGGACAAGCAAACAGATTGGGAGAAGCCGAGTCAACGAGACAGAGGTGGGACTTTGATGACAACGAGTCCTGATGTATCTGACACGATGGACGATTAAACCTTTACACCTGACGCCACTTTCCGTGAGGCCGGTGGAGAGCACTTTTCTATCGTGCTCATTCAAGTGTTAAATGAGTGGAAGTCTGGAACCTTTTAACACAGAGCAACTGGAAGGGGGGTTGAGGCGGGGTGTTGAGCGGTGATAATTTCCCCCTTCCAGTCTTATCCTTGCTAACAGATAATCGCTGTCATGTCCTTAGATTCAAAACAGTCTTTTTCGTGGAAAGAAT